TATGAGTCATGTCACGTGTATCCCTATCTTGTGATCACTCTAGAATTTATCATTTAAGATGCAACTTTCTGGCTTTTATTGGAGCGCATATTGGAGACCTTGGACCACCCTACCCTTCTGTAAAATAGGATTGTATATTTTATAAGCATGGTGTCATTTCACTGACACTGGAACTATACAAAAGCCTGTAATGTTATCATCCATGACGAAGAAAACAACCTTAAAACGACCTTGATATATTAATAGAATAACATACGTGTAGTACGTGAATCAAACACTATCATTTGATATTTTTGATAAAAACTGACATCCTACACTTATTTTTTTTTATCCTTCTGTAATATTTTAAAGATGTTTATTATAAGATTTGAATAAAGAGCTAATGGTTTTTACTATGGTGGTTAACACCAAGATAATGAAAATGGAAGATGTTCAAAATTTCAGGCACATTACTCATTAGGGGAATAGCTGAGTAATGGTTGTCATTGCTGTTAAGATAGTGAATAAAGTCTCGATTGTCCACTTTTTAATTAGATCATTAATCGCCTATCATGTTTAAATCCGTTGAAAATCTCGAGCATCCGATGGCATCGAGATTTAATTTTGGTTCTGTCATATTAATAAAATTAATGTTTAATAATTAATTACAAAATTGCACCAGAAATATCCATAGATTACCCGACTCGTGTACTGATTATAAAATGTTCATTGTGTATTACATATTGGATATTAGGATTCCATATCTTCACCACAAGTTTGCAACATCAATATTGATTGAAATTGACCTATATGGAATTCTAATTCGTATTCTTAATTTGGAATTTTATGGCAAAATATTAAGTTAGAGACTTAGCTACAAAAAAAATAACAAAGATATGGCACTTTCTATATACCCCTCCATTAGGGTTTTCATAATTGAACTTTTCTTCTCGATTGAACTCTATCATGTGCCATGCATTTCCAATTGGGTACAAATTCATCACCAGCCAATATTAGAATTTTCCTATCAAAAATAGCGGGCCGCAACCCTCCTGAATTTTGACAAATTCATGTGTGTGCCATCCTTGTGCATTGTGCCAAGTTTTATCTTTTTATCGTAACGGGAAGTATTTTTCCGATTTTTTAAAAATGATTCACATTGGTGATGAGTTTGGACCCAATTGCCAATTGGAAACGCATGGCACATGGTAGAGTTCAATCGTGAAAAAAAAAGTTCAAAAATGAAACACCCTACGCTTCCGTTTTTATTTCAACTTTCTAGAATTGTGACATTTTTAGAAAAGGTTTCATTTTGAACCCAATTTCAAAAAACAAATTCACATTAACCCGTTGTGGCCCATCATGTTCTACCTTGCTGCGATGGATGTAGGGATCCTAACATGAAATAATTTTTAAAACCGCATCCTGTCTTCTTTTTAGGCAATTCTCCAATCGGATTAAAATACAGATCTTTATTTCGTTTCGTTTTTTATTAGATGGCCTCGATTAATATAAGGTCAGACATTTGATTAACCAATCAGCATTGATATTTCTAGTGGGATACCCAAAGTTCCGTGTACCGCACGTCCGTGCTCCGCACGCCAAGAACACGCTGCAACAGACCGTTTCATCGGCTAATCCTTTACATTCGACCATAACGCATATAACAACTATTTCAGAACCTAGTATAGTAAATATAAGTTGAACGAAATTTTGAACTATAAAATCTGTGTTTTAATTAGATGGGTAATTCTCCTGACGTAAGTGATGTATTATAAAGTCGATGTCGTCATGCTATATAACTTTAAATAAAGGGTTTCATCTTATACACACTGTGGCTTATTGCGCGCATTCTTTTATTTTTATAGACTAAAATAATTTCCTAAACTTTCTTGACAAAAAAAACTATTTACAATTCATGTCTAGTTCTGATGCAGGACAGAGGACCTGGCAAGGACAGCTGTCTAGTCGATCGGATGGGACGGAAAACTGAGTTCCCGTGTACACATTGCCGTGCATGTAAAAGATCCCGTGACAGTTGGAATTCGAATAAACAGTAGGTCATAGTTCCATTGCCCAGGCAATTTCTATCATAGCACACTCGTAAAAGGTCCCTTGGCAGGCAGGTGGAATTCGATAAAAGATTGGGCTGTAGTGCCGCTGCCCGGACAAAAGCTCTATCATAGCACACTGTATGGCGTATACCCGGTCTTCATTAGCCCAGTAGGAGCAGAATAGTAGGACGTTAAACCCCATTTCATTCAATTTCATTTCTAGTTCGGATATTGCCTGTAATGCACGTGCACTGAACAAGGTTTGGCTTTATCAATTATCAATCAGATCGTCGGATATTCCACTAAATATTTCTACACAGAAGCCAATTATTGAATAAGGGTTTAACACCTGTTAGACTTTCATCACCTGGGTCAGTAACGAACGCCATTAACATAAATATTCACTCTTCTCCAATTATCCATTAATTAATGTAGATAGATAATCAATAATCAATCCAAGTGATTGTGTTGATTTAAATTGATGAAATGATTTGACAACCTCGTGTTAGATCGTGTTTAATACTGGGGCTGTTTCTAGCAAATCAGGTTTGTTTTAAATGAAGTCTCTCTTTGTTTCTTTTTAATGTTAACAAAAACAAACCTGGCTGAACTGAACAACAATATATTTGAGTTATGCGCAAATAAAATGAATAAGTTGGGTGTGTTTAAAAATATTCTACTAAATTCAATTCATATCTTGTTGACCGAGAGAGGGCTTAGTAATATATGCACTGCATTATATTTATAACCAATGTAGAGGTCACATCGTTTTACTTGAGAAGATCTCTATTGTTGATTGTACATCGGTTTTAGATGTAACTTAAAGTAGGTAAGTCTCTAACTCAATATCATCCAAGTCCTCGACATTGAAAACATGAATTATTTAAATCAACATTGATGTTGTGATTTTATCGGGAGAAGATGGGCTTCTGATATCCAGTATTTAAGATTAAATAAACATTTAACCATTGGTACGCGAATCGCGTATCATAATGCGTTTCAGCGCCATTTGTAACAAGGGACTCGAAGAACGAGGCTGGAAATATTCCACAAGTCATTTCAAACGGTAACGTCATATTCTTATCTGGAGAGCATTCTTAATAAATACTATCGGTGCAGACTGGAATAACCAGACGCTAGAGATTGTCATTCGATTGAGACTTGAAATTAGAGTAATAGCGGAAACGATTGAATGTAAATCAGTTTACATACATTCATATTTACATTATTGTATGCGTTTCGACAATTTTTTGGCAATTTCTAGGTCCCAAATAGAAGTGATTTAGCTCCTTTAATTTGTACCTATAATGCAGGCTTTGTGACATTATAATAACTGCGCATTTTATTATAGAAGCCCAGTAACAAGCTGCGTGTTGAAGTGAATAGCTCATAGTTCTATTGGTATACATCTACCTGTTAAAATTCAAGCTAACTGTAAGTGTATTGTTCTAGTAATAATTTGACAATGTTAGATATTAAGTTAATGACATATTCACATGAAAATTTAAAAGGGAATTAATTTAAAAGATAAAAGGAGAAAATGATAATTTCTGAATGTTAGTTCTAATGGGGTTATTTACATGTAGAGTAGATGAAATGATTTTGCTGCCACGCCCAGAATTCACTTGGCTAATAAGAAACTTTTGTTGTAATTCTCCATTTTTGGGTATATAATAAATTGGTTATAGATAATTTAATGAATGAATTTAAACAGGAAATTTACGTAACCGTGTCTTAAAGTCTCAATACCACTCTTGTTGTAACTGAATAATATGTCCCAATCTTTATTCTGGTCAACAAATTGTACTATTTTACAATATTCCAATTAATTGATGATACAAATTTCATCTTAACACACCTAATTTAAAAAATTGGAAAAATTAAACTTAATGTGACTTGGATTTGAAAATATTTTCGAACCCTATGGACAAGTAGAATAGGATGTAATGAATAATTTACACAAGAGGTGGGACACCTAAACATCTAGTACTTAGAATAAGGCTATTTTTTATTTTCTGGAGCTGTCAAGCCAGCAAGAGTGTTATTGTCCCTTTAATGCTGATGCGGTTTTAATTTTACCCTCTCTGAAATACATCCACCTACAATTCAAGCCAGTCGTAAGTCTATTATAACATTTAACTACATTCATATAAGATATAGCTCATAGCGTCCCTTGACAGGATTGCAGGACGGAGGGCCTGGAAAGGGGCAATATATAGCCGTTCGAATAATGTGAATGTATATTGCCGTCGCCTGTCTGTGCGGGTGTGTTTGTGTGCAATTCTTAAGTGATCATCTTGAAACTTTACATACTTATTCCTTATACCCTCAGGATGACCCCTATTGTTTTTGGTGCATGCCCGACCCCCAGGGGCAGAGCCGCGCCCATTTCTTGTATTTGTTTCTTAGCGTATCATTTTAAAACTTTGCATACTTATTCTTATTTCATTTGAAAATGGATCGGAAAACAGGCTGGGACTATGTTGACTCCTCTCCAGAATTTAAAAAAATAAGTTTATTTTATGTACATACAGAACATAATATTATATAAAACAAGAACATATAAAAATACAAAATATAAAATTATTTCAGATTTTAATATAAACTAAACATTTATACATTTATACAGCATACAGTTGTCCGTTCCGTTACTTTATATTAATATGGTACCAATGTAGTAGTGCCTATTGTTTGTGGTGAATGCCTAGCCCCCCAGGGGCAGAGCCACGCCTATTTTCTTTGTGTGTGTCTGTGTTATTTACAGGTCCATGCCAAACCCTCAAACACAGCTATGAACTTAGCAGTAGACACCAGTGAATACGCAATTGGGATCACGTGGTTTGTCGCATTTTCTGAGTGTGCCTTTAAAAATTTCGCGACATACTTTGGAAGATCTCGCTCGCGGCACACTAGTTGAGAATTACTGGTCTACAGACTGCAATTCTGAATGGATTATCTTGGAAATGAAATGAAATGAAATGGGGTTTAACGTCCTACTCTTCTGCACCTAACCTGGGCTAATTGAAGACGGGCATACGCCATACAGTGTGCTATGAGGGAAATTTTGCCCGGGCAGCGGCGCTACGGCCTACTCTTATATCGAATTCCAACTCCCAAGGGATTTTTTACGTGCACGTCAATGTGTACACGGGACCTCGGTTTGTCGTCACATCCGAACGACTAGGCAGCTGTCCTTGTCAGGCCCTCCGTTCTGCATCACTGACAAGGGGAAGGATTATCTTGGAACTTTGCATATTTATTCCTTATACCGTAAAGACAGCAACTATTTATTTTTTTCTGTAAATTTGCCAAAACAAACCCAACGCCTAGACCTCTTTTCCTCTTTTCATATTACAGCCATTTTATATTTCTTTCTCTTCATTTTAAAAAGTACCATATCTATGAAAGCTGTAATGTGGACGTATATTGCAGCGGTACCGATGCTCTAGTTGTAGTAGGCTGTTAAATCCAATTTCATTTCATTTCAGTTTATATGAAAACCAAAAATCGCCGTCCTAATAATCCCTCGGGCTGGAAGTAAGGACATCTTGATAAAGCAATCGAGTAACCCGAATTAATTAAGAGAGAAATGGGTTTTAGCGTCCACTTGACATAAATTAGGTCATTTCGGGACTAACATATGGTTCAGTTTCATTTCAATAATTCGCTACGGCTTTTTAACAGTTGGGGGAAACCGGTGGACCCGGAGAAAAGGTAGAAGGTAGGACAGGCGACCACAACTCAATGACAAACCTTATGATGCAACGCGCACGCGATAACCATTCCTCCAGTGGGGGGAAACCGTATGATGCAACGCGTTAATCATTCGCCCCCCCCCCCCCCCAAAGAACCAATGCATCTTTCCGTCAACCAAACAAACTTTATTATTGTTCTTTATGTTTTATCTGAGAGCTTTCCAGTTTTAGAATGGATGAGACCAATGTACCACGAGATGACAAACCGGCTAAAAGAGAAAGTTCAAACGGGAGTGATGGTGAAATGGAACACCTGATACCAACTAAAATAGGTAAATTGATAACTTTCAAATTAAATTCTCTACTTGTAACGATTGCTATTCTGTATTACTGTTGTATTATGGAAATAGTAACTTGTAACGATTGTTATACTGTATTACTGTTATATTATGAAACTATTGCATTATTAAAACTATATTTGTCCTTGGTCTGTCAACTTTATACAACAGTTTAGTCAACTATCATTCAGATCCAATGTATAGGTGGGGTATATTGGACTTATTACATTTTTATTGTTTTCTAGTAAAATTATCTGATGAAAGTGAAAGTGGGAATATCGAACCAAAACATGAACTCCAGAAGATACAGGAAAGGTAAATATCTATTATAACGTTTATAATGTACAGGTTGGATAACTATTATTATTATTATTATTATTCATAAACTGGGGGATTGGATGGCCATATGGTTAGCACGTGCGCGCTGTATCATAAGGTCTGTCATTGAGTCAACTAGTGTGGTTTCAATTCCCCGGTTGTACGTGGTCGCCTGTCCAACCTCGTGGGTTTTTCTCCGGTTCCTCCGGTTTCCAGCCTTTGCTAAAGACCCCTTCGCGCAAGCGAATTATTGAAATAAGGATGAATCATGTTAGTTTGCTTTGAGTGGACGTAAAACCTCATATCTCTCTCTCTTCTCTCTCTCTCTCTCTCTCTCTCTTTATATATATATATATATATATATATATATATATATATATATATATATATATAAATAAACTATCATTGCTATAAATAAATTAAAATGATGTACTACCGTTGAAAAGCCTCTAAGAATAAGTGAGTTTTCAGATTTGTCTTAGATAACGCCACGATGAACTGGTTCTAATATTTTGGGGTAGTATTTCAAATGGCTAATACCACGTGTTGTTCTTTGTTTTATGAGTCAACATGGCTAATACCACATACATGTAGTTTGTTCCACTGAAGAGGGACATATATGGTGGGGGGGGGGCAGAGTTTATTTAAGTATCTATACGTGTATGTTAGAACGTGTATATGAACTTAAAGGATCAGTCTCGATTATATTTTGGAGAATAAAACTGCTTGATTTAGTGTTAAAGGCTCTTAAAATCCTCTACCTTAGGCTCGCGCAACTAACTTAATATACGTGATACATGTTCAAACAACTTAAACCCATCAGTCTTCATCGTATTATGTGGTGTCTGGATGAAACCAGTTTAGTTTGCTAATTTATCATTTGTACTTGATCACGATAAGAGAATAATTGTCGTAACGTCGTGCTATATGTGTATAAACCAGTGATTGTATTCCATATAAATTGTGTTGTGGTTTTCAGACTTTTATTTCATGAACTTTCTGTAGGTAAAATATATCTTTCGTTATCAAGTACAGCACGTGCGACATGCACTGTATAAATCTCTAAAGGAAAGGCAATAGGTATCAGGTCACCAAACGAAAAAAATTGAACCGAAATCTTAAAATGGTTACGTGTCCGGATAAGCGGTTTTGACGTTCACGTCCAAACGACTCAATATTTTGAACTGAAATTTTGAGAGATGTTAAATACACCATTCCTCTATAGGCCTATTTCGGCGCCTAAATTTCATACGTAGGCCTACACGGACTAATATATTTCTGAGATTCTGTTAAAATCGACATGGTCCCTTTACCTCTAAAGGAGATAGGTAACCAATGAAGATTATACAATATGGGACGAATTATCACCCTACCTTCAGAATTTTACACCTTTTGCACTTTATAAATTATTGCGTTAGAACAAAGTTTGACTAATTTGACGTAGTAACAGAATGATACAGGTGAATGACTATTATAACAATTAAAAGATAAGACTGTTTGGATTAACTACCCTTTTAAAAAAGAAATAACATGCTTAAATGTAAATAAATCTTTGACATAATCATCAATATTTTCATGTTTTACAGATTATCTCAAGCTGTTGATGACGTCAACATTGATCTAACGGAGACCATATTAAACGAACTACAGCCAGATGACGTCAGAAGACTACAAGACGTCATTATAAGTTTAACCTGTCAATCATTAGAGAGAAGATATTTATCACTTGTTAAGTGTTTATTTAATAATATTATAATATTACAATCTGATGGTCAACTTGATATTAATTTAAATATACAGTTAATGACATATGCTATAAAATCAGATTTTGTTGAAGGTATTCAGTATCTCTATAGTAAGAAATTATATTTACATGTTGAACATGACAATAAAGTATGGAATGCTTTGTTAGAATCTGTTAAGTATAATAGTTTCAATATTACTAAAAGTATAACAGTTTCAATATTACTAAATATCTTTTAACAATTTCTGATTTAAATCTCAATCTAGACTCTCATAAAACTATATTAATGTTTGCTAAATCTGGTAAAATGTTGTCAATTCTTTTAAGTAATGATCAAATCAAGAACATGATTAATTATAAATCTAAATCTGGTCACACTGCGTTATATGACTGTATAGAAAACACTGATGATGTTGTCGAATGTTTAAACTGTATTAACATTCTAACAGAAGCTGGAGCTGAATTCGACAAGTTCAATCTAAATAAATCATTACAATATGTCATTATTAAGTATGGTGATAAACATAAGTGTTTAGGTATTATATCATTATTACTACAACATGGTGCTGATGTTAATCAGATTGACGGGTGCGATAGATCACCTTTAACATGTGCTATAAAACACCATGGTGATAAAGATACCAGTTTAGGTATTATATCATTATTACTACAACACGGTGCTGATGTTAAACAGATTTACCGGTTTAACTTACCTTTAACATGTGCTATAGAATACCATGGTGATAAAGATACCTGTGTAGGTATTATATCATTATTACTACAACATGGTGCTGATGTTAATCAGATTGACGAGGATAACTCACCTTTAACATGTGCTATAGACTACCATGGTGATAAAGATACATGTGTGGGTATTATATCATTATTACTACAACATGGTGCTGATGTTAATCAGATTGACGAGTATAAGTCACCTTTAACATGTGCTATAGAATACCATGGTGATAAAGATACCTGTTTAGGTATTATATCATTATTACTACAACATGGTGCTGACGTTAATCAGGTTGACAAGATGTACTCACCTTTAACATGTGCTATACGGTACCATGGTGATAAAGATACGTGGTTAGGTATTATATCATTATTACTACAAAAAGGGGCTGATCCTACCCAGAGTGTCAAAACAACAACGCCTTTAATGTATGCCGCCCAATACGCCCACTATATAGATATTGTTAAATTAGTGCTTGTAGATATTGTTAATGTAAATAGAACTAATGATCTGGGTTTATCAGCTTGTAGACATTGTTTTGTAAAAACGGCGAAACGTAAATATTATGGGACCTCGGTGAGTAAAAGGGATTTTAAAACTACTCTGGCTATCTTTAAACTTTTAGTCGAGTCTGGTGCTAATTTGGTTGCTAATGGTCCCGAACTACTGTACGATATTATGAAATTCGGTCAATTAAATATTTTTGAGTATTATATAGGATTAAAGCCATTAGTGGATAGTTTTACTGAAACAACAAATCGAAATATTTTTCATGTCTTGGCCCAAGTGAAATATGAGTTTACACCAGAGAAGTTTAATTGGTTGTTTAATTATAATATTGATATAAATCATAAAGATTCTTTAACTAACACTCCTCTTATTATTGGAGCTTTCTTATTGAACCATAAATACCTGGACTTGATAACAAAATACAGTCCTACACGTGATGTTAATATACCAAACAATAAAGGTCATACAGCCATACACAGTGCTGTAATCGGGTGCCTATTATCTAAGTCTAGACTGAACCAAACTGGAAATTTGATGGACGATTCACTGAGTGAACACTATAAAACTTTTCAAGAATGTGTCATACTTTTACTTGATGCTGGTGGTAATATTAATAGTCAGGACAATAATGGAAATACTGCTTTGATTTTAGCGGCCAAGAAAAATAATAAATTTATTTTACGTTTACTACTTGAATTGGGCTCAAATATCAGTATTTTAGAAACCAAATATGACACATCTGCTTTACAATATCTAGACCTTGATTATAGTAGACATTTTGTGAAAATGTTTTTGATGAGAGGTGGCCATAAACTTCTGAATTTACCAGGACCACATGGAAATACACTGATACAGCGAGCTTTACTTTTCCCTACCTTTTTTGAACCAGAGAAAACTGTTGATTTAATAAGATATTTAGTTGCTGAAAACTGCTGTCTTCAGCATCTTCAGTCTGTATCTACTGAAACCAATTTCTACAATGACGATGTTCATTTAGATGATTTTGACAGTAAAGAGAGAAATAAACTTAGACAACTACTTTATCGAAGTGGGGCTCCAGAAGAAGAGATTGTTTCGACCGTTAATTTCAAAATGGAGGATGAGCAAGATGGACAAGGTGGAATGGCTCACTCAATAAACAGGGAGAAATTCAAGTTAGCATGTTTTAACTTATCTCTTCAAGAGAAGTGCGTAAGACTCATCAGACAGAAATTGGGACTAGAAATAAGGAAAAAAGTTCAACAACTTGACTTAACTGGACCTGTGGTGAAGAAGATCTTACTGTGTGATCTTCTTCCTAAAAAATACTTTATCCGTTATTCCGAGGATGATTATTATGATGAAGATAATATGAGGGAAGATGACGATCATGATGATGATGATGATGATGATGATGAGAATGAAGGAGATGATGCTAATAATGGCTATGATTACCAAGTTTATAACCTGGAAGGAAATGAAGATGACACACCTGATATCAAGAATAATGTTGTCAAAGATGGTGATGGTGATGACATACCTGATGATGTTATTGTAGATGAGAATGATAAAGCTACGGATGTTAGTGATGATAAAGATATGAATGTTAGTGATAGCGATGACAAGATGGATGTTGAAGGATGATGATAATGGTGATATCTGTGATTACGATGATGATGATGATGATGATGACGATGAATGTTGACGGGGGACCAAGTCGAGGGTATTGTTATACGATAATTCTAATAGTGATGGATAACGTCCTACATTTCAACACCGAATGTAGGATATTGGGATGTACGTCTTGGAGATGAAAATATTGGTCATGATGATGATGATGATGATGATGTAGATATCTGGACGGTGATGATGACTGTATCCATTTCTAACATCTGATGATATCCGATTTCCTATATAATTATTTATAACTATATGATATACCCATGCCTGATGATAACATGATTGCGAATGATGACCGCAATCATGTAAACCACCTGGACGGTGATGATGACTGTCTCCATGTAAACCACCTGGACGGTGATGATGACTGTCTCCATGTATACCATCTGGACGGTGATGATAGAGTATGGTGACAGTATCAATGTATAACATCTGGACGGTGATGAAGATAGAGTATGATGACAGTATCCATGAGTATGGTGACAGTATCAATGTATACCATCTGGACGGTGATGATGATAGAGTATGGGGTCAGTATCCATGAGTATGGTGACAGTATCAATGTATACCATCTGGACGGTGATGATGATGATAGAGTATGGCGACAGTATCAATGTATACTTCCTGGACGGTGATGATGATAGAGTATGGTGACAGTATCAATGTATACCATCTGGACGGTGATGATGATGATAGAGTATGGCGACAGTATCAATGTATACTATCTGGACGGTGATGATGATAGAGTATGGTGCCAGTATCAATGTATACCACCTGGACAGTGATGATGATGGAGATGTTGACAGTATCCATGTATACCATCTGGACGGTGATGATGATAGAGTATGGTGACAATAATGATTATACAACGTTAGCTAGTGACGACACCAGAGAAAATGAATTATATAATATGGAGTAAGATGGCGATGATCAATTATGTTTGATATAGGATGGTATATTTGTTATTTGATTATATAGGATGCTAAATGCCTTTAATCGCTTATTGTATTATATAGAATATGTTGTCGTTATTGGTTTAGGGCACCATTTTTTAGTTTATCACCACCGTGTTATTATTAATGGTTTATCACCACCGTGTTTTTATTAATAGTTTATCACCACCGTGTTATTATTAATGATCTTTCAGCACCATGTTATTATTAATGGTTTATCACCACCATGTTATTATTAATAGTTTATCACCACCATGTTATTATTAATAGTTTATCAGCACCGTGTTATTAATAGTTTATCACCACCATGTTATTATTAATGGTTTATTACCACCATGTTATTATTTATTGTTTATCACCACCATGTTATTATTAATGGTCTATCACCACCATGTTATTATTAATAGTTTATCACCACCATGTTATTATTAATAGTTTATCAGCACCGTGTTATTAATAGTTTATCACCACCATGTTATTATTAATGGTCTATCACCACCATGTTATTATTAATAGTTTATCACCACCATGTTATTATTAATAGTTTATCAGCACCGTGTTATTAATAGTTTATCACCACCATGTTATTATTAATGGTTTATTACCACCATGTTATTATTAATAGTTTATCACCACCATGTTATTATTAATGGTTTATAAGCACCATGTTATTATTAATAGTTTATCACCACCATGTTATTATTAATGGTTTATCACCATCATGTTATTATTAATGGTTTATCAGCACCATGTAATTATTAATAGTTTATCAGCATCATTTTATTATTAATGATTTATCAGCATCGTGTTATCACCATCATGTTATTATTAATGGTCTATCACCACAATGTTATTATTAATGGTTTATTGCCACCATGTTATTATTAATGGTTTATCACCACCATGTTATTATTAATAGTTTATCACCACCGTGTTATTATTAACGGTCTATCACCACCATGTTATTATTAATGGTTTATCACCACCGTGTTATTATTAATAGTTTATCACCACCGTGTTATTATAAATGGTTTATCACCACCAGGTTATTATTAATAGTTTATCAGCACCATGTTATTATTAACGGGTTTATCAGCACCATGTTATCATTAATGTTGTTATTAATGGTTTATCAGCACCATGTTATTATTAATGGTCTATCAACACCATGTTGATATTAATGGTTTATCACATTATTAATGGTTTATCACCACCATGTTATTATAAATGGTCTATCACCACCATGTTATTATTAATGGTTT